AGTCTTAGTACAGTTCACAATTTGAAGAAGAGGGGAAGGCTAAGAACACACACATGCTGCAACAAACCATTGCTAACAACAGACCATAAGATTGCCAGACTAAGATGGGTTTTGTCGCATATAAATCCAGTTACAGGGCATGAGGACCCCACATTTGTTGACATGAGGAATGTCATACACTGTGATGAGAAGTGGTTCTACTTGAACCCTGATAAAAGGAGGTTTTATCTACTGCCAAGTGAGGATGATCCCTACATGGCAGTTCAGCCAAGAAGATTCAAGCTCAAGGCAATGTTCATGGCAATCATAGGGAAGCCATTATATGGCATAAATGGAGAACTGTTACATGATGGGAAGTATGACATCTTCCCATTCACTGTCCAGATAGAAGCACAGAAATCAAGCAAGAAAAGACCAAGAGGGACTATGGAAACTAAGGCACTCCAGAACATAAACAAAGAAGCAATCAGAGAGATGCTACTAACAAAGGTCATTCCAGCAATCATGTCAAAGTGGCCTGAAGGTCTGCCCAAGGATGTGGTCATCCAATGGGACAATTCAAGGCCTCACCAAGTTCCTACAGATGCTGAGTTTCTGGCAGCAACAACAGCTAATGGGTTTAACATTCAATTTGTTTTTCAGCCAGCTCAGTCCCCTGATTTGAATGTCCTTGACTTAGGGCTATTTAGGTCTATATAGTCTTTGCAATATCAGTCTTTTCCTAGGGACTTAGATGAGCTGGTTGCAAAGGTGAAAGAGTCTTATGACACATTCAACCCCCAGGTTAACAAGTACATCTGGGTTACATTGCAAAAATGTATGATTAAGATACTCAAGGCTGAAGGTGGTAACAAGTACAAAATACCACATATGAACAAAAAAAGGCTGGAAAACCTAGGCAATCTTCCAGATTTGGTAGAGGTTCAGAAGAAGGATGTATTGGAGGCTGTGGAGTACCTAAACACTATGTTTAGGCCAGCAAATCAAGGGACTCAAGAACTCACAAAAGATTTGGAGGTGGATGCAGATTAGGGGACTCTTTACAACAACCATGCAACACATGGACTGCCACACATAACCACTTCTCCTAGTAAGTTTTATTGGTTTTTTTTTCCCAAAAACATTTTGAACAATCAAGTGGTTAGGTGTATTTTGTTGATTACAATTACCCAAACAAGTCAGGCAGTCTGAAGTAATGTCATTAGATTATAATATGGTCTTTTGTAAAGTTTTATGTTCATTACTCAAACATATTGTATTTTGTACCCACATTTTTAGTTGATTATGAATGACAAAGATAGACAATTTATGTGGGCACTAAATCCATCAGAGGGTTATAATGTTGAATACCACACATATGCACAAGGGTACCTCAACAACAACAACAACTTGCATGTTGATGGAGCAAATCACTTGTGCATATTGAAATTCATTGGAGTCCCTTCATCATGTGGATATGGGTAAGCAAAATAGCATGTCAAAGTAGGGGATTCTTTAATAAACAAGAAACAGAAGGCAACATCAGGGGATTCCTTTTAAGGGACTGACTAGGCAACAATGAACATGCACAAGACACCAGCCTCAACATTCATCAATCAAGTCCACACAGCCAGCACAGTGTACCCCAAGGAACTACAACACAATTAACATAACCAACAACCCAAGATGCAACCAGATGTACCAACACATACATGTACCAACACATACATGCAACCAGCAATTAATCTCCCAGATATAACATAACCATCAACCCAACATGCTATCAGGCCACAGGCCACAGATTCCCACAAAACAACAGTAAGCTAAATAGCATATCAAAGTAGGGGGCTCTTTAATAAACAACAAACATAAGGCAACATCAGGGGACTCCTTTTAACGGACTCAGTAGGCAACAATGAACATGCAGAAGATCAACACAAAAATACAAATAAACCCTAACATTTAACATAATTAACAACCCACCAATAAACAACAACGAGTCAAAGTTACCCATAACAGCAAACCCTTAGCATCCAGCGTATATCAACACAACAAACAACCCATCATGAAACCACAACCAGTCAAACAATCCCGCAATAAACAGTGAAACCCTAGTTTCAGCCATAGATCAACCGGCACAAAAATTAGGACTCTTTTAAAATTTAAAAAAATTAGGAATAGGAATCGTTACGCAAGGCTCAGGGCTCAGCCTCCTCATCAGAGGACAGCACCTCGAGGTTGGCCTCCGGCAAATCAGCCAACCCTCGCATACGCCTCATCGCCACCACCGCAGCCTTCCTCTTTCGCCAAAGCTTCGGAGGAGGCCTGGAAACCTTAGATCCGCGCTTGGGGGGGGGGGGGGAGGGCGCCACACTGATCTCCACAGAATCGGACTCCAGATCTACATCTTTAACCTCAAAATCAATTTTTTTTTGGCATGGGAGTCACCTTCACCCTCCTCTTTGTTCGTCTTCTCCCCCTCGTCGATATTTTTCAGGACTTCCCCCAAAGCTTTGAAAGTCGTCGGAGAACAGCAACTTGGGCCTTCCTCAGAGTTGTAAAGGCGGCGAGGAAAATCATTGCGCCGGTTGATGTCGTTAATGAGGGACTTGATAAACTTAGCCTTACTCTGTGAATCTGTGCCAATATAGGCGTCAATAAGTGGATCTAGGTCATGTAACGGAATTGTAACGTCTGGATGCCTCTCGAAAGGGGAGGGAAAGGGGGAAGACATGATTGTGGGACTCTGAATTTTTCTGGAAAGAGGCGAAGGAAACGAAGAAGACGAAGAACAGGAACCCTAGAACACGAAGAACAGGAAAAGGAAGAAACTGATCTAGGGTTCTATAGAATTCTCTAGATCAGTTTAGAAAAGGTGGTTGGGAAGATGTAGAGTTGTGTCGTTTGGGGGGTAAATTGGAGAGAGTAATTAGGTTAGGTTAATTTAGGTGTGTTAAATTAAGTTAGGGTTATGGGTAATGAGGGGTAAAAGTAAGATGATTAAATTTTTTAAGTGGGGGTAATATAGTAAATTCAAGGGTTTTTATTTACCAAAAATGGAATGAAAAAGAAAAGTTGCACATAATAGTGAACGGACTAAAATGGTAAAAGTTGCACATAAAAAAAAACGGAGGTAGTATAACGTATATGGAGTACTCTGTATGCCTCTTTGGAGGAGCATCGCTTGTTTTATACACTAGCTAATGTGTGTTTAAGAGTTCAATACCCCACGCACTCACCTAAAATGACTATGTGATCAATATCTATCTAGCTTATGTTTGGCATTTTCATCTAATGATGAAGGTTTAGAGAAAGAAGAGATAAAAGTAACGCAATTCTACAAACAAAATTATCTTCAATAAACTAAAAAACAATTATGTACTTTTCATGTTTCAAATATGGGGAGGCAAATAATTAAAAGATGCAAACCACTATATTATTATATATTTGTATGGAAAATAATGTTAATTTTAATTACTTGGTATGTCGTATACATATATGTAAGATTCTAAAGGCCCTACAACTAAGGCCTACTACCACTAATTAGAGTATTGGGTTGAATGGTTACGTTTGAGCCGTTTGGCCTAACCAAATTACGAGTGTTGAGCTTCGCTTTCTAGCCCTCTTGTCCACACTTTTTTGTTTGTACCTTCGACAATTAACAATGACAATTTAACTAACTTACATTATTTTTCTCAATGGTTTTAAAATGAAGCAATTTTTAGTGATCCAAGAATTTATCAAGTTTGGTTATGAATTATAAAATATTTGTTGAGACATCAATGTATCTATAGTGTTTATTTTTTCTTAGAAATTTTGGTATTTCAACTTTTATATTCTTCTTATTTATGAAAACTACTTCATTTGGCATTTTTACAGTTTTTAATGCGCATATATAATTTTCACTATATTTAGCTACTTACTTATAAGTGACATTTGCATGTTATCTAGTTATTCTCTTCTTGCATAGTTTCGTAATTTTGTTGACATTTATTTGATGAAAATTTTTGGTTGAAACCTTCACACATAAAATTTATAATATAAAAGAAAATTATAGCCTCTAGTAGTTGCTATTAACACACCATGATATGTTAATCTAAGTTATGAATTTAAACTTTGTATTTGTATTTTTTTAAAATTTTCGTCAGCTTAAAGTCAATTAATTAATTTATTTGTATCAAATGATTGTTGACATAGTAAGCATATTTAGATTTATTGCCAATTCCTAAATCTTAAGAAATATTGTAAAATTGTAGCTCTTTCTCTTACTTTTTGGAGAAATTTCAACTAGTAAAGCATCATATCCAAACAACTTAATAATCGTCTGCACGGTAAGATTAATCTAGTGACAAAAAAAATAACTATTTAGTTTATCTAAAAGAAAATTTACCAATAAACCATTGACACATGTAGTTCATTAATGAAGATTGATTACATGATCAAATAGCTAGTGATTAGACAATAATTAAGCAAATAAACCTCCGTAAATTGCCATGTGCCAAGAACCAACCATTAAACATCACGTGTGTGTATACATAACATTTTTAGATGGTTTTTCCTATAAAGACAAAAATATGTAAGAAAATTAACATTTGATGCCATTTTCAAGGCACATACACAATCCATATGTTGTTTGATCTCACCTATAATGTCATTCTTAAGAATTGAAATAGATTTTCAAATAGTCCTTCAACGCTAATGTCTTTAAATTTCACTCTTTTACCATTATTCCTTTTATACTACCTCGCGCATATTTCATAAGAGAACTAAACACCTTAAAATTGATCCAAGTTTCGTGCAAACTGCAAAGTCATTTAAAGGTATAAATAAATTATATGAAGGATATAAAAATTGGTCTCTTATATGATCTCCAACCATGTACCTCATCACTTCCTTTAAAGAAACTTTACTTCTTATCTTAAAGATTAGAATATTACAATATTCTTATTTGAAATAGACCAATATCTTATATAAAAAAATGTAGCTGAATGAGTATAAAATCAACATGATGTGCGAATTTTGAATCTATATTTTCACCTTTTTCTTTCCTCAATATACCACTTAATTCTAGTACGGAAAATACATGTCTTGTCCACAATGTCAAATATCGAATGATGTGACTCTTATATCTTTCCCGATCTATTGTAAATATCTAAGTAGATTTAAGATTAAAATAACACAAAACAGAAACCAAAACGGGAAAACATATTTTATACTAGAAAAAAATTTCTTTCTTATAGAGTGTAATGTATCCTAAAATGGTAAGAAATAGACAAAAAGTAGAAAAATATTTGTAAGAAATACAAAAAAAAAACCTTGATGACACTAAAAATAAAATACTCCCAATTTCCACTAACTTACCGTATTACCGCGTCTAATATCACTCCTTCCAAAATCCAAGTAATCCCTTCTTTCTCTCTCCTCCCTCTCTCTCTGAAACTTTCTTCTTCACTGCTGTTCATTCTTCTAATCCTTCAAATTATTCACTAAATTCTCAATTTCCCAAAAAACCCAGAATTTTTCTGCTGTCTTATCTTGCACACAAAGTACCCTTTTCTTCTCAAACCAAAAATCTAACTTCCTAAATTCTCATTTTCGCTTTTAATGGCGAAACGTGCTTACAAGCTCCGTATCCTTAACTCCCCCCTTTTTATTTCTTTGTTTTTTCACTTTATTTAGTTTAAATTGCTGCTTTTTAGTTCTTATCTTAAAACAAAAAAATAATTACTGGGTTTTTTCTTTTTATCAAATTGAATGTGCTTCAATTTTTCATTTTGTTATTCATCTGATCTAAGCTGGAAACTGCTTGGAATGTTAGTTTGATTATGCCATTTATTTGTTTGGTTCATGATTAATTTATTTATCTGTTTTTGTGTTCTTTGAATTTTAAATAATTATTAAGTAGTAAATTTTTATATTTTGGCGTTTTCTGCTCTTTCCACCGACTTCCCATGTTCTGTATTATTTTTGGTTTAATTTTTCAGTTGAATTGGGATGATGGGTTGGCCTTTGATATATTTTTTTTAATTCAATTTTTTTGGGTGAAATTTTGATAGTATGTGTAATTTTTTGATTAATTATTTGAAAAATTTCTTGACCAAAAATAAAATGTAAAGAGGAATTTGCGGCACACTCAGCAAATGTGAATTGTCTTAGGATTGGGAAGAAAGCATGTCGCCTTCTTCTGACGGGTGGAGATGATCACAAAGTTAACTTGTGGTCAATTGGCAAACCAACTTCTTTGATGGTACAATTCTTGTAAACCAATTACTTCGTATATTTTTTTAATAAAAATTAATGTATTTGGATTTTGAAATTGTTGATTAAGTGCATTTTAGTGGTTAGACATTGGAAATTAATGTGAATGATGAAATTATAGATGTGTCGTTTTGCCGGGTTTTGATTGTTTGTCTGTTAGGTTCAGTTCCATGGAAGCATTCTGTATTTAGTAAATGTAGTTAGCGATTAGTTGGTAGCAAGGTTTATAGAAAGAATTTCAATTAAGCTGATCTATATTAACTACATTGGACTTGAGTTGGTTTTGATCACTTATTTGATTGGACTGTTCTGTTTTGCTGCTTTTGGGGCTCTTGATTTAGGGATATTAATTTTGTAGATAATAGTAATGTGCTATGATACCTTTATTTAGGTGCAAGTTAGAAGTAAGATTTTAGATTTATAGCTAATTGCAAGTTTTGGTTTTCCCTTTTTTTCTTATGTATAATGGGAAAATGAACACTTTTATAAGAATTAACAGTTGAAGCTAGGTATACCTAAGCTCTTAATATGTAATAATACGGCTTACCCTGTAGAAAGCTCCGGTACTCATATACGTAGGTTAATGCAACGTTTTTACAATAATACCCTTGGCATCCTCCATTAAATGCACTTGTAGATGGGATTTTGTTGCTTGTCTAAGTAAGAATTGATGGATTTTATAATGAATGAGATATTATAAAATCACCATTGAACTCAATGTAGTGATAGACTGATAGCGAGTAATGCTTGTATTTCATAGCAGCAACAATTTGATTGAGATATGTTATATTGAGGAACAAGGAGAATACAATTGCTTCTTTTGTTGTGAAGGGTGATGTGTTTTTCATGATGCTGAAGGGTGATGCTGTTCATCTCATGCTGATTGCATTACTGCTCTATGACGTTTGAGTTGTGGTGTTAGAATTTATTCTTAATTATTGCTCTTGGATTTTGCAGAGCCTATGTGGTCATACCACTCCAGTAGAAAGCTTGTCCTTCGATTCAACAGAAGTGTTGGTGCTTGGTGGAGCTTCTTCTGGTACAGTGAAGTTGTGGGATCTAGAAGAGGCGAAAAGTGAGTTTGTCAATGTCTCACCTGTTGTCTTAATTTTTTTGGGACAATTTAGCACTTGTTAGCGTAAAATTAACGCATTGATGATCTATCAAATCTAGGATAATAATTACTTTATTGATGCAAAGTATAGTTATTTACACCTTTTCTGGTCATTAGTGTATTGATTGCATAATATAGCTCTGTATGCTGGTTTATCGGAGAGGATTTTTTTAATTATTATTAAATTTACTTTCTTATTTTAACACTGCTTTTCTGAAGTGTAGTGGTTCGAACTCTTACTGGTCATAGATCCAATTGCACTTCTGTTGAATTCCACCCATTTGGAGAATTTTTTGCATCTGGTTCAGCAGACACTGACCTAAAGATCTGGGATATAAGAAAGAAAGGATGTATTCACACATATAAGGGCCACAATCTTGGGATCAATGCTATAAAATTCACACCTGATGGTCGATGGGTTGTTTCTGGTGGATCTGATAATGTTGTAAAGGTAAGATGAGGATATTATATAAGCACTTGGCATCTTGATTGCTTAGGTGGTTGCAGAATCTTGATGGCTTTCCTTAAGTAGAACATATCTTTTCTGCACAGGTCTGGGATTTGACTGCTGGAAAGTTGTTGCATGATTTCAAGTTTCATGATGGTTCCATCACATCCTTAGACTTCCACCCACTTGAGTTTCTTCTTGCCACAGGTATTAGTCCATTTGGTTAGAACTGATCACTTATAAAGGTGCATGTCACATTCCCTCTACATTTATTACTTTATTTCACTTAGTGATCATTTCCCAAGGTGTCAATTAATTGTTAGATTGATACTTATCTTTGGCATGGTGTAGATAGAATTTACCATAACTGTCGAATAACTTAATCTTTTTGAAGTTTCATTAATTATAGCTCCTGTTCAAAAAGCTTGTCAGTTGAGCACAAGTCAAAAGGAGAGCCCATGCATCTTTCCTTTTTCAGATTTCAGAGTCAAGTGCATTTTCATTTGGGAGGCTTGCTGGAGGATATCTTTCCACCACAGGATCCTTGCATCTCGGTTAAGTGTTTCAATAAATGTGTATATACATATTTGTGATAAGCTCGAACTCAACTGAGATTTTCAATTGATTTTGAAGACTCCAACTAGTCCATTTTTGAATTCTTTAGATTTATGCTATTGAGTTATTTACACTTCTACCTATATTAAAGTGTATCTTGAACAATAGCTTCCCATTTACTAGAGCAGCCACTACTAACATATATGCTGATGCTGCCCTTACTTTTCAGTGATATGATATGTCGGGTTCACAAAAAGTGCTGCCTTTGTTTCTTTCCTTGGTTTGAGGTCCCATTTCTTTCTCATGAATCTAGCATTATCAGTCTAAGTCATAAAGTTTCTTGCTCTTACATCATCTATCACAAATGTCCATTATAGCATGTATCCTTCTTCAAGGTCTATATCTCCTTTTGTTTTTGCTCTCCTTTGCCTGAACCTCTACTTGAGCACCTCTCAGACCTTATGCCCTTAGAGTTAGTGCTAATGTAATGGTGCTAAGCTGTTCCCTTTCAGTGTTTGATGTTATTTTGTGTACTCTAATTATGTATAGCATTTTTCAGGTTCAGCGGATAGAACTGTTAAATTCTGGGATTTGGAAACTTTTGAAATGATTGGATCTGCCAGGGCTGAGGTAATAAATTTTCTTATTGACTTGAAATATTGTTGTAGCACCACTGTTGAATTCTAGGCTATGGTTTGTGGTAAGTGCAAGTGCTAAATAGGTTCTGCTGGAGGCATACGTAGCTATTAATGAATTTATTCCTCTTGGTTGAGCCACAATTTTTTGTTGGAGGCATTATTCTCAGTCACCCCCTAAGGCCCTAAATGAAGAGTTTATAACTGATCATCATCAAGTCCATTTCGTTGTCTCATAGCCACCCTTTACCAATTTTTATTAGTACTTTGGGAGGTTATGAGAAGTTGAAATAGGATTAAAGGGTGGTTAATTATAATTTCTTCACTTCGGATGGCTAGTCATCATAATTCATAATATTTGGGAAAAAATAGGTGTCATCATACCCCATTATATGCTGCCTGATGACCTTATGTCTTTATACATCTCATGATACACAATTTAAATTTTTGCCTCAAAGCTGCAATTGTAATATTTGTATCATCCAGGCTGCAGGAGTGCGTGCTTTAACCTTTCATCCTGATGGGAGGACTCTCTTTTCTGGATATGACAATAACCTGAAGGTCAGAATACTAACTTTTTCTTTTTCCTTTGTGTGTGTGTGTGTGTGTTTTCCTTTTTTTTTTTTTTTTAAAAAATTTATTTGAGTAAATCACAATTATAAGCTCATGTATACTTCAATAGGTTTATTCATGGGAGCCTGTAATTTGTCATGACTCCGTTGACATGGGATGGTCGACACTTGGTGATCTCTGTATTCATGAAGGAAAGGTCATAGGTTGCTCTTACTATCGGAACTCCATTGGTGTTTGGGTGGCTGATCTCGCAGTACGTGACTTACTGTTATATTTGTTTTAGCTACTTAACACTAGTGCATGCATGTACCAACAGTGTCACTCCTTATAATTTTCTAAGAGCAACTTTAACCTTCTTTTATTTTAATGCTTGAAGCGTGTTCAGCCATATGGGATTGATGATTCTGGCGCACCTCATGAGAGAATCCCTGTTGAGTTTAAGGCTGATATACGAGAAAGTCAGTCTCCTGAAGTAATGTCAGCTGTTGGGTCCTCTGTCAGCTCTCGTTCCACATCCCCAGATGTTGACGCTAAAGAAATTAAGAATATATATGTGGACTGTAAGTCATATTGTCTTTAAATATTATTGAAACTGGAAATATTTTGTGGTTCATCTAGTTACCATCACTCCTTTTCTGGCCAATATATGATTGCAAATTTGCAATTTTTGGCACTTACAACTCCTTGTCACTTGGAGTAAGCTATAGCTTAAAGATGATGCTTTTGTTTATCAAATGATAATGATGTTGAAGCTTTATCTGAAAATTGACAACAATAATTGAGTATCATTGCTGTGTTATGAATTTTGACTTTTCTTTGTAAGTCCTTTTTTTCTCCAAATCAGGACAACTTCATTTGGAAAAGTATAGATGTTCATTACATATAAGTAATGAATGGGAATTGCTATTAGAAATTTAGAACTCCACGGGATTTGCTTGTGGGTATGTCAGACTTCAGCACTAGGTTATGGAGTAGCATTTAATGTTTTAACCTAGAGTGTTTTGACCTAGAGGACCTAGTGCTCACCACTGCTACACCGAACACGGATATTTCAGACTTCAATAGGATTTGCTATGCTTTGGCCAAGGTTTGGTGTAATTTGATATTTCCTTTCTGATATACTAGTAATTTTTTTTAATGCTTCAACCTGGACAAACACATGTTAGCCTGCATCTTGATTGTTGTGTATATATTTCGGAGCATCATATGTTCCATATTTTCTCAGATCGTAGCCTCATATTACTTTGAGACTTAATTCATTGCTTGATGGTCTCACGAGGGTTTTTCTTATTCATTTGGTTGGGAAGGGATTAGCAACATTTCAATCTTCTATCGAGTATTATGCCACTGTCCTAAGTATAGACTAAGCAGGATGTGAGATGGGGTGGGTGCTAATTAGAGAAGTCTAACCTGAGGATTGGAGTGTTATTCCAATTTACCCTAAACAATAATAGATTGATACTATTGGCCTTTCTGATCTTGGTTCACATGACAATATGTGGATTTCTTTACAACTAGACTTGCCTGGAATAGGAGATAATCAATGTCAATTTATAGTTATCACATGTATGTGAGTCTATGGTTTATACTGTGTTATGGCCAAATGGCATGGTGCTGATGTCTTTAGTACGCACCATTTGCTGTTTGGGGATACTAGGAGTATACTCATACTTATTGACCCATATTACATGCCTAATCTTCCAACAATTAATAAGCAATTTGTAATGCATGTTTCTTGTGTAAGTGACTGTCTACGTATCCTTGGAACTGCAGATGAAAAGCCAATCAGTTCTCGCAAAACACGCTTACGTAATACATCTAAAGCAATGTCATCTGATGTGAAGGAAACCCCCAAGTTATCATCTAAAAAACAAAGTACACCTACTGCTACTTCAGGAAAATCTAATGTTCAAGCTGGTGGTAGATCTTTTGTTGCCCCAACCTTTGTTCCTAGAGACAGTTCAGGTGGCAAAAGTTTTTCCAATTCTAGAAGAGAGTCAATTACTCCTGCAAAGCCTGTAAGTGGGGGGTCAATTAAGGCTCTGCACATAAGAAAGTCATCCAGGAGCAAATTTGATGTTGATGCTGCAGATCCAAATTTTCTAGATAGGCATGTTCTGGAGATGGGAGCTAGAGATAGCTCTGGTGGAAAAAGTCTTGCCAATTCTAGAAGAGAGTCAATGACACCTGCGAAGCCTGGACAGGCTACGCACATAAAGAAGTCATCCATTAGCAAATATGATATTGATAATGCAGATCCAACTTTCCTTGATAGGCCTGTACTGGGAGTGGGATCTAGGGATTTACATGAAGACAGAAATCCCACTCCTGAAAATTTTGAAGAGCAGTTTGAAGAAAATCCATCTACTCCAATACATACTAACCTGCAGAGTGGTACGATCTCACATTCTCACCTCCTTCCATAAAGATGGATGATTTTTTTTAATATTTAATTTTTTTATTTTTTATTTAATTTTTTTATTTTATTTTATTTTATTTTTGGTGTGTGTAGAAATTAGCTTTGCTTTCAATTGTTTTGCACCATTAGTAAAGCTGACAGCCAGCAGTTACATCTTGTTTTGGCCATTTGCAGTTGTCTTTGTAAAAGCACTTTAGATGCCACGTGGTGCACTTCTTTTTTGCTTATTCTTAGTAATGTTATCTTGTTTTGTTCACAGTATCTGGCGACTCATTTGACTGTAAAGAGGTGCCAAATATAAAAGTTGCAGATGGAGGTGGGAAATTTTATCCTGGAAGTTGCGACTTGCAAATGACTTAAAATTATGGGAAACCTAACTTAAGTTTTTGCTCTCATTTAGCTGTGGCAGTTTCTCTTGGAAGGACACGTTCTCTTGTTGAGAAATTTGAAAAAAGGGGAAAATATTGCGGCGGTGAAGATCAAACGATCAGTGTATCCCCTGAGGTCATTTCTGATAGGATTAACAGCTCTGCCATGCTAGTATGTTTATACTCTCCATGTGATGAAATTCTTAGAAGTTACTTTTCTCATTTCTTTTAAGTAAACCTCCCCCAAATAATGGAAACAGCTTATAATCCTTATATGCCACAGAAACAGAAGACCGCCCTCAAGCAGAAAACACTTTTTCTTAATGGCTTTTGAACTAAGATAATTTTGATAATTGCTGTTTAGTGCTTCCCGATTTACTTACAAATAGAATAATAAGCCTGTTATATGTGTATCATGCTCGCTTGTTTAAATGGGACCAGTCAAGTTTCTAAGACTGCTATTGCTTGTGCTGAGTTATATATAGTACTTGTAATTTTTTTTCCCCTTTTTTCATCATATTTGATACTATATTTGAGGCTAGAAAGTTCAATAGAAGTAATACTCCCTCGTTTAACTTGATATTTTGTAAAAAATATATGATTTAGAATGTTTCTAATTGGAAATTCCTCTAATCACTCTATTATGCACTACTGCACTAAAATGCGCTGCAAATGGTCAACTTTAGCACTCCTTTGACTCTATTTGGTTCATTTGATTTTGTCTGAATTGTTTTATCTGAACTTATTTTATTTTTATATGAACATACTTTATTTTGTCTGCACATTTTTTTTTTTTATAAAAATCTGAAGTTATCTGAACTTAATTTATTTTCTCTAAACTTATCTTATATTGTTTGAACTTGTTTTCAATAAATTTTCTGAACTTATTTTTTCTGAATTTATTTTGTCTGAATCTGAATGACATTATTGTTCCTGAACCTATTTAATCTGAAATTATCTAAACTTATATATTTTGAAATAAGATAAATTAAGAATTTTTTTTGGGTGTCAACTAAGACAGCCATGTGAAATGGTATAAAATTTGGCCTTGTATTAGGCTTATGGCTGGAAGGATTTTGTGGAAATCAATGCATAACTGTGATCTGTGAGAATTAGAATTTCCCTAACTGCGACCTTGTATTGAAATATGATATGCAAATTTTGGGTATAATTGCAACTTCATCGTCTAGTTATTGTATATCTGGATCTTATATTTTATTACTTTGCTTGGTTATCAGAAAGAAGAACCTCAAGTTTCTGGTAGAGAATCAGCCTCAGCAAGTGATGCATATTTTGTTGAAGATCTTATGCAGAATCATGATGCTCTTCTGAATGGTCTTCGTTCTCGCCTTAAAAAGTTACAGGTAATTTTCAGGTTGTGTACTTGTGTTATATTATCTCAATAAGCAGCTTGGCATAAAGAAACGATTCTAATCGCTATCATAATGCATTGGTCTTAGTTACATAATTTTCGTAAAAATTTGGATTTGATTTTTTCAAAATCATTTATTATTTTTATTCCGATTGAATGGAAATTCAGATGGTGCGGCATTTGTGGGAACGAAATGACATAAAAGGTGCCATTACATCACTGAAGAAGTTACCTGATCATTCCGTGAGTACCTTTATATTTTATTCTTTGTTTGAGCTTGAAATTTGAACTTGTTTATACTCCTATGGTGAAATCATCTCAAAAATTGCATATCTTAGAAATTTTCTTCCTTGTGGTTCAGGTCCAGGCTGATGTGATTAGCGTTTTCATGGAGAAGATGGATATCGTTACCATGGACTTGTTCTCCTGTATGCTACCTATATTGGTGGGTCTCCTGGACAGCAAGTTGGAAAGGTAATTTAATCATTCTGTCTGGCTTGTGCATGTCAAAGTTCTTTGGTAAAAATTTAAGCGTATGGAGGGTCAGTAAGAGAAATCGAGTTTGCAGTTCTTTGGGAGGCTTAAGAGTGATCTTGCACTCCTACATCAATAGCTGGCAGTGTATGAGAGCGCAGTTCATTTACTCTTCTAAGCTAGTTGCTTAAACCTGGGTAAGGGGCATTAGGTTGATCTTTCAAATCATGATTTTACTTCCATATTTTACAGGCATGCAAAAATGTCTTTGGAATTGTTGCTCAAACTTGTTGCCTTTTTGGGACCTACAATTCGCTCAACCATCTCAGCACCTCCTTCTGTGGGTGTTGATCTTCATCAAGAAGAAAGGTATACTCTCCAATCTCCTAATTTGCTTTCCCTTTCTTTTTTAAAAGGGAGGCTGGCTAGGAATAGGCCATCACACTCTTATCAGTATAGCTAATTCATGCATATTGAATATCGCTTGTTCTTCAAAATCAACAGGATTGCGTGCTGCAAACAGTGTTTTGTCCAGCTGCAGCAGATACAAGGACTTCTTCCTACACTGTCCAGGTAACTTGCATTCTAGGTCTATGTTGTGAAAAGGATCAGTGATACCTAAATACTTAGCGTTCTTTGCTGTCTCGTCATTTAATGTTATTATTGCTTTTATTTTATTTTATTATTTTATTTATTTATTTTTAATATAATGTTATTATTGCCTGTGCTAAATAAATTGGGAATTTTTTTTTGTTGCGTTTATACTACATTTCCCATTACCTTAAATGGATAATTGAAAGCCCAATTTATTTAATCCTTTTTATGTGGCTACTTGACCACAGCTAAGGTAGCCGCAAAAAAATCTATTTTGATTCTTGAGACAACTATAGTTGTGTGCTCATCTAAGGATGGTCTTAAGTCAACTGTTTCTGTATGCAGGAAGAGTGAATCACTTGCCAGATCAGCTTTGGAATTGAATCTAGTTCTTCAAGATCACAGCATATAATTCTTGCGACAACATTTTGGGAACAGTGAGGAAGGGTTTTGTTTCCTTATCGCGGGAGATTTTGACGATTCTAAACTCTGAAGTGCTGATTTTAGCTTTTCTTCCATCGCCTGTTAATATCTCCGGGTAGCCAAACGTCAAGAATCAGTGCCATAAACTACCAATTAGTCGTACCCTTGTATCATTCTCAGTCCATCAAAAGGATGCGCAAGCTTTTCATTCAATGCCATTCTTTTTAGATGGGCGCTGTCCCTTTAGTTCTAGCTCTAAATCTTTGTCATGTAACTGTCTGTGCACCTGATGTATGTATCCTACTCTTCATATTCAATGAAAAAAAAAAACGCCCAGATTTTTTATGCTGGGCCATTCTTAAGATTTGTGAGAATCCTAATTACAAATTCCGAGAATACATGATCTTTAGTTTTGCTTCGCCAATGCACAATCGTAGCCACCTTCCTACGCGCACATTCATTCATGGATACTGAAAGGATGCACTTATCAAATTTATCAGTCATCCTCAAGAAATTTCATTGTGTTTCAAAAGAAGCAAAAAAAAATATATGTTGCACATATAGATATAGTGATTTGTGGACATACTTTAATTTCCTTAATTACTTTATACACTAGTTAGGGGCCATTAATAGCCACTAAATTAGTGGTATAGTTCAGTGGGACAATGCCATATGCTTATGCAGTTATGCATCCTTTGTTTTTATGCTGGTCCAAATTTATTGAGATTAAGGTTGGTAGAGTAGTTTTCAACTGTGACCCATTTAGCTATTTAGTTTTAGAGGTAAGCATTTTGCATAAAGTGCAATAGTAGTCACCAGTCGGTAGGTCCATGTTTTTGGGTGATGGAATGTCTTTCTTGGTGAGACAAAGAGAGTTGAGATGTTTTCTTCTATATATACTTAATACTTTACAAGGACTTCCAAGGTTTAGTAACATCAACTAAACATTATGGAGTATTTGTAGCAGGGTTCATCTTTCCTACCTATGGTTAAGGTGTGTAGCAGGAGCGGGTTGGCTTCTCATGACTCGTGGAAGGCGGAGGAAGGGAGGGATTGTTACGCGGGTAAATCTAGAGATATTGAGGGGTTTTTCTTAAACAAACACGAAGTAGAAAACACTAATGGCTGCCTTTGGATTGAATTTGGACTAATTACCTTTCTTGAATATTGCTTACACTTCACTATGATAAAGATCAAACCTCATCAACCTCACTTGAGAAGTTTACTTTTTATTCCTTATCCCTTTGAAAATTTGGATGGGTCCATCAATCTGTAAATAATTTTTTTTCCCTAAAATGAAGTAATGCGACATTATTTACATGTTTGAATGATTATTTTTATGTTGATATTACCCTAAAAATTGACCGATTAGCCTACAAATTTCACCTTCAATACCGATTTTCTCTTCTCTAGGATTCTTATTTATACATGTTCTCAATGACAATGCCTAAGTTGAAAAGCCAAATTGAGAATAGAAACAACTCAATAATAATAACTAAAAAGTAAAAAACCTTAACAAGGGTACCAAGACCATCTAGAAAAGGTGGTTTCTTTAGTATCAGGAAATGAATGTAGGCAATTTGCCAACTTTATAGTGGAGCTAATTACGTGAAAGACCAGTACCAGAATAACTAGCAACAAAACTTTTTGGTGATCAACTTGTCTGGCAATTTCTTGTTATAAAACAAAAACAAACAATTTAAACATTGTTTTTGACTGAATTATTTATTCAAATCAAAATTAAGTCTTAAATGAGATTGTAGCTTACATTGCAATAATAATTTGCTGCTAGAAATGTGAATGAAATCCCAAAACAAAATAATTTTATTATCTATACAACTCTTGGATAAATACGGAAACTCTTATACAAAATTTATTTACAATTTAGGATCAATTTTGGCTAGACAAGTCATTATGTCTGTAAATCTTAATTTTGGATTTCACATCGATTCAGATTTAGACATTAAAAACCATTGATTTCTTTTCTTTATTACTTATCCCATTTTAAAGATAAAATCTGATCTGATCTGATATGATATAATCAAATTATTTCTTAAATAAGTTAAGAGTGTCAAATTAATAAGTTAAGCTGAACATAACCTTAGTTACAGATAAATAAAACCTGACATTATGTACTTTTTCTAAGGCCAACGTCCACAAATGACAATGATTTCCTTTTAATCTTTTATGCTTAATAATGGGTCATTGGTAAAGTCAAAAACTAAGTATCACATTTTAATTATTTGATTGACTCTAAAATTGGTTAACATAATAGATTAATTTCTAATTAACACATGATTATAGTATTTAACAACTTTTATCCGTAGTAAAATGAATGCTTGTATTATCTTTATCGTGTATCAAGGGATTTTTTTTTTTTTTTTTTATGAATTTTAAAAAAAAAAAAAAAAAAAAAAAATACTTGTAACTATTACTTTGCGTATTATGCTAAAATAATAAGACAAAATAGCGACACAATAAAAAGAGCTTAATATTACAGTCATTAAAAAAATACTTCGATATATTCCACTCTTTCTCTCTCCATTTATGTCTCTCCATCATCCGTATTCCCCTGACAATCTCTCTCTATTTTCTCTCTCTTCAATTTTCGCTCTTTCATTCAATTTTCAAAGTTTCTCTTAAAAAAAAACATATCAAAAGTAAAATTATTCATTTAGAATCCGTCAACCCCATTTCTTACGCTCACTTATCCTTGTTATAAATTTTACTGTATTAAAAACATCAAATTCCAAATACCCAAAAATAGGAAATTATAAAATAAAAAAACCATTATTTAAAAAAAAAAAAAAGCAAAACTGGAAATTCTCACCGGGAAACCGCTCTTATACAGCCTGAAATCCGCTTTTCTACCCAGAAAACGGAATCCCTTTACAATTCATAACCATTTTCTGGTTTTATGCGTAATCTGTTTGACAATTTCGAGTTATTTTGATCTGGGGTTTCTAGAAAATTCTAGAAGGTGGTGGTTTTGTTGGTGGTGGATGCTAACGTGAGCCAGGGGTGCGTAGGTAAAATGGTGGAGGAAAGAGGGGATAATACGGTGAGATGGGGTACATGGGAAGAATTGATCTTAGGTGGGGCTGTTCTTAGACATGGTTCTCATAATTGGGATGCTGTTGCTTCGGAGCTCCAAACCCGTTCTCTTTACCCTTACTTTTTTACTCCTAAGGTATATCCATTTTCTCTCTCCTCTATTTTTTTTTTAATAATATGCTTTTTATTTATTTTGTCATAAATGTCATAATGTATTTATTATTTCATGAATATCTTAGTTTATGATTGGTGTAACGTATCAGGATTATTTTATGATTGCTGGAATTTTAATATCGGATTTGGTTTTGCCTTTTGTCATTATTTTATGGCGTAGTGGTGGTTCCAGGATATAGTTACATGTACTCAATAGATAATTTACCCATATGTATTTGATTTTTTTTTTAAAATAAATTTTATGCTTAGTCGGGTTGGATTTGGTATCCTAATGTTCGCCGTAGATGAGTGATTTATCTGGTTAAATAAATTTATTGTCGAGTTAAAACTTAATATAGATGGAACTTATTGAAGCCTATCATATACAACGAGGATAATGTGGCTAACTTGAATGTTAATAGAGCTTACTAAATATAGAATGTTACTCCGTTATTTCCAATTTAATAAGCCACATTTCTATTTCATAAAGTTTTAAAGTATTAGGCTAATCTGGCTGGTAAACACCCGGGTGCACTTAGAGGTAGTTGCACCCAAGACTCCAAGAGTAGTTTTTTTTGTTCATTTATTTATTTATTATATTTTTGGGTCATTTTAAGATTTTAGTATGAGCAAAAAAAAATATTTAAATGAGATAAAAAAAATCCTTGAGTCCTCCCAAAAAAAAAAAATAAAAAAAAAAAAAAATAAAAAATCCTTGAGTTCACGTTCACCTTTCACTCGGTGTATATAAATTTTTTTAAAGCCTTACTTAGAGGATTACTGCATATAAGGAGATAAAAGTGAAAATAATTAATGATATCATATATCAACATTTTATTATATGATAGGATTTTTCGTCATAAACTACCTAACCAGATTTTGTGAAAAAAAAACCTAATTTATAAAAGTGTCGTAAGAAACTACCTAATAAATGGTAAAATGTTATAAAAAACTACCTTGTAAAAGGCAAAATGTTGTAAAATACTACCTCTGTCGGATTTCCACCATAGACCCCACCTCAAAACACCCCCGAAACCACCGCTTTTATCCCCAAAATCAACACAACTTGCTTGAAATTGCCTCCACCACGTCAAATGCACCATCCAACCCCAAAACCACCACCTCTAACCCCAAAAACCACCATCTCAAAGCACAAATTTATCCTCACCAACTCGGAATGTCCTCAAACCACCCCGAATATTACCTTACCACCTTGAAAACCAACCCCCGCGGTGGTTTCTCTAGTGTTTTGAGGTGGTTCAACGTCGTAAAATTTGGTCAACCATAGAGACTCGGCCAAAGTTCATATCTTACAACATTTTACCTTTTATTGGGTAGTTTTTTACAACATTTTTTTATTAGGTAGTTTTCTTCCAAAATTTAGGTTTTATTAGGTATTTTCTGACAAAAAAATCCTATATGATATCAATATTTCAATATGTAATATCAACACTTTAATGTATGATATCAATATTTTAGTATATGATATCAACTTTAAATATCTAACAACATTTCAATATCTGATATCAACATTATAATATATGGTATCAACACTTCAATATTTGACATTGATATGAACACTACTTTTATACCTGATATCAACTTCTCATTCCTTATATCAATATTTCAATAGCAATAGCTGATATCAAATATTAAATTAAGGAATTTAATTCTTAAATCTATCCAAAATAGTAAAGAAATTGTGTTAGAGATATGAGATTAAATCATATCACACGTATATTTTTCGATATTGATTAGATCTCTCTAACAAATTTCCTTTCATTAAGAATACAAAAATGAAAATTGACTCTTCAGCAAGTCTTTTTTCATATGTCACCAACATTATTTTAGATACACCACTTCATTTCTCCTCATTGCCATTTTTTGGCTTATTGGTAGTTGTTTGTCCACAGGCTAAGACTCTTTGTCATTGGCAGCCTCTTTGTTCTTGGTGTTGTGCCAAAGTTGTAGAGATGGTGGCGTAGCTGTATTTGTTGCCGTAAATGTGGAGGTTGTAAAGTCGGAGTGTGGACAGAGGAGAGAGAGAAGGAACGATGGATTTGTTTTGAATTTATTTAATACTTCTTCCGTTCCAATAATATTGCAACAATGAGACTTTTGCATTATTCATCACTCTTGTTTGACCATATAATATGATTATACGTTAAGT